CGCTGATAAGGCCAGAACTTTTTTTCGGCAAACTTCACTGTTTAGACATGAGGAAGAAACACAGAAAGGGGGGACGGACAACGAATCGGGTCTTGCTTGGGTCCCGTCCTCAGCGAATTGTATCGGGTCTTGCTTGGCTCCCGTCCTCAGCGAAATTTACCTGTTTTATGTTGACGCCAAAGTTCAGGCGGACCTTCAACGAGATTTTCCCGATGCGAAGGTTTTTCGTTATGTTGACGATTATCTCATCCTACACTCCGCCATCTCTGACTCTGCAGCCATAGAGACCGTGTTCCAGAAGAACTCACATGGGCTTACGTTCACCAAAGAGGCCCCCTCCCCTGAGGGTTTACAGTTCCTGGATCTCAGGTTGGTCCCAACTAGCAAAGGTATCTGCTGGGCTCACCAGCAGAGGTCCTCTAAGCCCGTTCTTCCTTTCAACAGCTCACACTCAAGGAATGTAAAAAATGGGATCGTTCGAAATCTAGTTGCTTCGGCAAAGGTTAAATCCTGTCAGCACCTTTCCGCCCCCAGCCTATCCAAGCAGATTAGTCGCCTCATAAAGGCAGGATACCCGAGAGACCTGATTGAAACAACAATCAAAAGACTTGTCGCGGGGCAGAAGTCCAAACCCCTCCCTCCTAAGTCACGCTTTGCGTGCATCCCCTACATACACAACACCTCACATCGCCTGAGATCTATTGCGCTCGGCTTCAACACCAACGTTGTATTTTCCTGCAAGTTCAAATTAGCTTCTATTTGTAGAAAGGTCAACAACCCCGGTCCAGCGCCCCCGTGCCAGAAAAAGCACCAGACCAATTATGTAACCTGCTGCAAAGAGTGCGTGTATTCGATTCCCATGTCCTGCGGTGCTAAATACATCGGACAGACGGGCCGATGCCTAAACGATCGGGTGAGGGAACATGCAAACGAGATCAAGAAAGCCGCCTCCGACACTTCGGAGATTTGTTACCACCCGATTGCGAAACACACCTCTGAGTGCAGCGAACCCTGTTCGGCCGACCTTCCCTCGACCACCAGGATTGGAGGTCACGCCTCAAGATACGGACGAGAGATCATGGAGGCCTTCGCCATGCACTACAGTCGCAGCAACTTCGGATCCCCGTCCATAGGCTTATCCAGGAGGGAGATAAACTTCCTGGGGCCAGAGCTGACGTCCCTCGTTTTAGCGGCTCCGAGCGATTAGATATCTACCCCACGGGATCGTCCCTCATTTCCCTGGCTCTACACTCTCCCCCATCGCTTTCCCACTTTCCAGTGTAGCGTCTTTCACCCTCCCCTCCTTCACCTATATATGCAAACTTCGGGTCAATAAATGTTGTTGCTAGTTGGAAGTCTTCGTTGTCCGCCCCCTTTCTGTGTTTCTTCCTCATGTCTAATTACAGTTACCAACACGCTCGTTTTGTACTGTACTTCACTGTTTAATAGCGAGTTCGTTTCACACGCACTGGCACCGTTCGAGTTCTCTCCCAGAATGCATCGCACTCACGGAGTGTTGCACGAAAAACTGGACTCAAACGAACTCGCCAAGTGCACCGAGTGCAGAAGACTGATGCTGCCGCCATCTATGTTGTAGAAAAGGTACCGACTTCAAACCGAAACTAGCGCCTTTTTGTTCGGAGTGATGCGTGGGAATGCGAGAATGCAGTCGCTACCAACGTTTATCTACAAACGTTGGTCGCTGCAACCTGTAGTTTATAGTTGCGATGACTTCAAGCAGCTAGGCTGCCGTAGAGATAATTACAGACGGCGTAAATTTCCGCAACCAGCTCTCTACAAAGCAGCTGGTTGCGACCTTTCAATTCTTATAACCGTTTACACTGAAGAAAACTGATGATGCTGTCCGAGCAGAAGCTTGATCCGTTTGAGCATGGTATAACGCGTGAACCACTGAAAGGGTACGGCTTAAAACTAGCCTGTTGGAATATCCAGCAAAATTGGGACTTTCGATTTGGATCGTCATTATAGGTGGATTAGATATTAGCCTTGGTGAGGGCGTCGAGAACGAGAGCTTTTTTGAACAAAATACGACGGGGCAAGTTAGCTGACATAGGTAAATGTTAAACATGATGATGTCGCCCAATCCTCGGGTAAAGTCTCCATCTTTAGCTTTCTCTGATGCTTATTTGGCAGTCAGAGGTTTCTGCTGGGGGAGTTTTGTCGACAAATGTTAAATTTTTCACCCGCACACGGATGGTGATAGACATTTCGGGAGCCGCTGTTGCGTTTGTTCTGAGCATTTCTTTACAGCGTTTGTACGGCAACAGAGCGATTTAAAACCTGCAAATAAATCACGGGTTGTCAATTGCTTCTTTCGTGAAATAGCAGACGCTCACAATTCAAGCTCGCGTTTGATTTCGTTGCCCGCGGGACGCGATTTCTATCAGAAAATCGTAGCAGACGAACCCTCGTCGTCTGCTCCCGCTCCTCGCCGGCCCCACCGGAGCGGGGCATGACGGGATTGCATTTCGGCGCACTCCCGATTTTCTCAATGCAGCGAGTGCATGCACGCGTGGGGTGTCAGCGCTGAAAAGAACTCGGAGAGTGCAACCACTCGTGGAGTGCCGGCCGAAACGAACCCGTTCCACGCTGCGAGGGGGCACGCGTGGGCACGAGTGCCGTGAAGGCCTTCCAGGCGTCTGACACTCAACGTCGTGCTGCGTCGTGCTTGCAGCGGTCCCCTGGTGTCGTTTGAAGGCACTAGTCGCGGTCGTTAAATGTATTCATATAATGACAATAGCTATTTAATAAAGGTGCATTGATTCATTACTTTATTAGAACAATCATCTAGCGGTCTAATAAGATGCTCTGCCATTTTTGGCTCAAGTGTGTCTCGTAGGCCGTGTTCCAAAATTTACTCGATCTTACTCCAGGGTAAGGGTTTTGTACCTTGGCGTTCTAAAATCTACCCGCGTCCAGAGCTTTTCAATCTGTGTTGTCACGTGACACAACCCGCCGGAGTAACTCGGATCCATTTGAGTAAGATTTGGAACACAGCCGTATGCATCAACTTGGCGGTACGATTGGGACCTCTGGGTAGCTGTGCTGTCCAGACGCAAGGTTCCTGCCGTGGCAAATAATTTCGTAACATTCCTCTGTTCCGTTCAATTGAAAATTTCCCATGTCAACCTAAATCAATAATGTATATTCGTTATGCCCTTACTTGAAAAACGGTGCAATATACGTTCACGGCGAGATAACAAGGGCTTCAGAGAAACCTCCAAAGTGCGTCCTGTAGAGGTAGCGTTCCTCATTCCAACGCTATAGTTTCAGGCGTTGGGAACACTGTGGTTGGGAACGTCGGGCTGAAACGGAATCAAGCTCACGAGCCAATGAATACTTACGGTCAGATAGCAGCAGGATTCCTGTCCTTTGAGAATTCTTGCCACCTGAATTTGAATTCATCGCGAAAGACCAGCCGAAATTCACTAAAGACGTTTATTATGAAGCCCTCTAAAAACAGAAATGTTTGTTTATTCTGAGAAGCCAGTCCCAGAAGACCGTTGCAGAGAAACCCCGAACACTTCATCGAAGTGGCCTCAGTCGTCGTCTTGACCGAACAGGGACAGCCAAACAGCGCAGTTGATAGACCCGACCAGGAAGCCAGGAACTGCAGGCAGTACCTGGATAATAGCAGAAAACCAAGACAATACCAGTGCCACAGCAGACAAGCGCATATTGTGCACCTGCAAGGTAAAAATGAATTAAATTAAAAAGATATCTGAGCAAGGCATGTTAAAAAATAAAAAAAGCAAAGCCGCAATCTCGTGCTGTAGCTACAATGTTTCGAAAAAAACAAACAAGATTTATTGTTTTAAGGTCTGCTATTATCTTTGAACCTACATATTTTTTACATAAAACATTAAGGTACAAATATTATCGCGAAATTAGCCAAATACTTGTATTTTAACAACTCCCGGCTACCTAGAAAGGCATACATTTGAGCCATTTTCGCGTGCGCAGTTTTTCAAATTGTTGCGTTGCCCGCCATCACATTTATTTTGAGAAGAAGGCCTAGTCGTCTCTTTTCCGTCGCATTCTTCTGCATTTTAAATTTCTCACAATAAATTATATCAATCATTTTTGTTCTCTGCTGTGAAAGAGCATAGCTAGAGATTTATGGTTATACTCTAACATGTTTTTTTTTTACAGCGGAGCTGTTAAGGGCTAGTTTCCCCAATATCGTGTTTGCAAACAAACATATGTCGACACAAAACTCCGGACAGCTACCGCCATCTATGAGCGACGGCGGCAACCAGACAACCGGCAAGTTGGTTGTCTGGTTACCGCCGTTGTTCATAGATGGCGGTAGCTGTGCGGTTTTGCTGCCGCCACTCACAGATGGCGACAACCTTTCCAGCCTTTCCACTCTGGTTTTCACCAGAGTGGAAAGGCTGAATTTCTCTAGGAGTCATCCCAGACGTCGTCATTGTCCTCAACGTCGTCCTAGAAGTCATCCTTTAGGTTGTCCTAGACACTGTCCTCAAGGTTAGGTTGTCCTAAACGTCGTCCTTGAGGTCGTCCTAGAAGTCGTCCTTGAGGTCGTCCTAAACGTCATCCTCGAAGTCGTCCGAGAGGTCGTACTCTAGGCATCTCCTCGAGGTCGTCTTTGAGGTCGTCGTCAACTTCGTCCTTGAGGTCGTCCTCTAGGCACTGTCCTTGAGGTTGTCCAAGAAGTCGTCTTTGAGGTCGTCCTAGATGTCGTAAAAATAACACCTTCGCTGGTCCTCCATTTTCACATGAAATGGAAGGGCTCTACAATTTTTAAGGATGCATGCATCACCTTTTCAAATGAAGGTTGTCCTCCCAACACTCTCTCAATGCCATCCCCACAAGGCACACTCACCTTTCAGCCAATTCGATGAGCACAGTACACTCACTCTTTCAGATGTTGGGTGACTGAAGACAGTTTCCCGCCAATGCAAAGCGGCCCAGTCACCCGACGCGGCAAAGACGCTCTTCTACCATGGCGCACAAACTTCCAGGGCATATAATTTATTGTTTCGTATAAATAAAAATCATCTCCCACAGTCACTCTCCCCTCCTTTCTACAACACTAAAAAACAACGGCAAAGAGAGCAGCACTCTAGGTACTGACTAATTCGCAGAGTCCTCCCAAGACAACGCCTTCCAATATTCTCCTCAGATGGTGCCATAAACACCAAAAAGACACCGGCACGACTGCGATTGGGAATGTGGAGAAGGCCGGGTCTCGTACGACGAATGTGCTCTTTCTTCATTGTCCAAAGCTAAAATAACCTTAGAAATTGTGTGCACCACTTACTCAAACCAATGTGGACGCATACGAAAACGCTTTGACTGCAGACACACCTAACTGCCGTTGACGACGCCGGATGCTCACAGCTTGCACCGGAGATCTCTTCACCTTTCCTCTCGCTGCCGACGTCCTTCAACCTGAGATTGCTCAATTTTAAAAGCACGACAACATCGACGACGACCGTTTGCTCGCTTGCTCCTACTGACACGAAAGAACGACGAGTCGGCACCTGGCCACACTGAGGTCGGTGCGGCTTCAGTGAGTTTCGCGGACGAATTTAGCACGTTCACGGGCAACGCCTCTCCATGTCTGGATCTTCTTGGCACGTCTCTTCTACGAGAGTCTTTCGACGAAGGAGGCGGGAAAGATGCCCTCGGCGGAAGACGTCGACGAGTTTCCGAGCAGACGACCCTGCCACCAGTCTCCGTTCACCTTTCGCGTGACTTGAACCTTGTCGCCTGGATGGAGGGTCAGCTCATCGCCGTGTTGGGCTTCAAACGGAAATGCAGCCCTGTAGATATCTACACTTGTACCCTGTGAAAGAAGAAAGCAAAAGCAATGAGTGGCTCAAGTTAGCAAAGGAATGATCGTTCGGGGAGACACGCTGCTAAGCTGGGGGATCGGAGGCCGAGTGCGTTAATGCACCGCGACTCTGAGCACAGGGAACGAAAGCTCGCACTGCAGATCCCGAGAGTCTTGAGTTCGCTCCTCACGCCTGCCCATTTCGATTTAGACGAGCATTGTACCGGAGTGCGGTCATATATCGCTACTCCGATATGCACGCTAAAGGAGCTGGCAGCGGTACTGCCCTGGCTAAATTTGTGATCTACGGTGGAGACGTCGACTCCCGTAGCAAGGGGGGCCGACTGATTTTCTGCTGTCTAAGAATACACAGAGCACAATTACTGCCAAGCTCACAACACACTAAATTCAACTGTTGTTAGCACGAGTGATCATCTCAGCATCTTAGAAATAAACTCAGGCTTGGGAAGCAGTAATCCATTTAACTAGCTTTTCTAACTGATAGAGGCATGCAATTTTCTCGGCAGTAATTTGTACAGCGATACAATTAAAAAATTTGTAATTGATTTGTTTTCTTACTCATTCCAAAGCAATTACTTAGAAACCCATTACATTTCAAATCCGATTCCAGTGAGTTATGGCAAATTTACATGGTTTTGTGCACCCAGTTTTTTCTATTTAGGTTACAAAGCTAAATCATATCCTCTCCACAAGTCTAGAAACTCACCACATTAATATTCCGAGAGATGCCCCACCTCTGAAAAATAACACACCCATATTTTTCATGATCTGCTATTTCTTCAAAAACACCGAAAGATAGCCCAATTCTAGCAATTCCAAGGCCCTGGCCAATGGTGACCTCGGCAGAAATGCCGTTATTTAGCCACGGCGGGTGATAAGCAAACATTTCTGACTGGGAAGGACGGCCGTCTTTGGTTCATCGTCCCTCCCTGCGACCAGAAGTTACGCAGGTCGCTGAAGCAAATGTAGATTTTTTTCAAGTTTTTTTTATTGCACACCGAAAGTGAGCCCCGTCCTTACTCTAACCCGATTTGCTCTCGACATTAGATGGGCTATCTCTCAGGATATTACGGTAGCTACTGGAAGAGACATTCATATTTAGAAAGACACTAGAACTAAAAGCATTACATAAACTTACCAACACTGCTTTTAGCACACTCCTATCGGCCATACTCTCCTTAGCTATCCAAAGTTAAAGGCAGCTTGGTTCCTGTCTTCCACATAAACTTGTCAAAAATAAAAGAAGGAAACCAGCCAAACTAGTGATACGCTGCCATAGCGCTTCTATGAGCTATTAGTAGAAAATACTTGGTTGCGACTGGCTCACCTTTGCCGTGGTCTGCTTGGAGATGGGCTGCACAAAAGAAGCCGGAAACTGACCCTTGCGCCCCCTGTGCTCGCCGTAGAGCCAATCCTTGTTGATCCGCGACAGGACAGTCACGGTGTCCCCTTCCTGGAAGAATTAGAGATGCAACAAAAGTCACAGCTCAAGCTGGTCTATCCCCCGACAGAAATACCACATTTTCTGGTCTATACAGTCCGAACCCGGGGGGAAAAAAAAGGATTTTTCTTAGACAGTTCGCATTTTGTGCACATTCTGCATGTGCAAAAATCCTCCTCCACGGCACGCCTTGAAAAATGTCAGCTTGGTTGGTGCACAAAAAAGCTTACTGCAGACAAAAGTAATTATTAATGCGTCCTCTCATCCAAAAAAACGGACCCGTCTTGCCGTAGAAAACCTATCATGAAAAAAAAAAATTTGCATGGTTTGTTTTTGTAAATAGTCTGCACTGTATCAAGTTTCAACCTTTAGATATATATAGGTATATAGTCCGAGGAATGTAGTCAGGAAAAATTTGCACATTAAAGGCTAATTCACACACTTGCGACCGCTTACGACGGAGTGCCTTAAAACAGCTTACGAAGGAGTGCCTTAAAGCTGCTTACGACAGGGCAGCTTAAAGCTGCTCACGACAAAGTGTCTTAAAGGGAAGATGGGGCGGTTCTGCATTTGAGAAAAAACACTTGAATTGTGTTCACTTGGCCATTTGAAAAACAGATGTCACAATTATGTTTCAATGCGACGCGCCGGAGAGCCATAAGAGCAGTTTCAAAATAGGGCAGAAGCCCCGCCTCCCTAGCCTTGGGCAGCCAAAAGATCCGCCGATGACGTCACATAAAGCGACTGTCTTTCGCGTTTTAATGTGTTTAACATAACTTGCGCAGCAAATGGTTTGGGTATTCGGGTTCACGGGGTAAAAATACACGAGAATTCACTTCTTTTTTTTTTTAAGCAGCTCCAAAGCTTCCCTTTAAAGTCTTAAAGGGATACTACAACGAAATTGTGGCGTTAATTTCTTGGTCTATTGTGTTTAACGGAGCATTATAGCATCAGACACACCAATCTCTTGTTGAAAAAGTCACGAACAGGAATTTTAAAATGAATTAAAAGATTAGCAAAAAGCACCTGGTGGATGTCGCTAACGCCTCGTTTGTAATGCCCGTCTAGGAACCTTGGCAGATAGTGACGGTAACTGTCTCGCCTCCAGCCACGGCGAGAAAAGAGGGGAAGGACGAACTCCCTTCTTCCCGAGAATCCCTTTTGTGTGACCCAGAAGTCGCTGTACAATACAATACAATACAACCATTTTTGGTTGTATTGTATTGTCTGTATTTTCAAAGGCCACTAATCGCTTTCTGTCATTTTCATAAGAGTTTGTGTCCTTTTACCGCGTACGCCATGACGGCAATTCAATTCAATTGGCGATAGTAGATTAATTCCGAGTCTCTCGAGTTTCGACGATGGGTTCACGGCATTGGGATGATTTTGTGTCAAAGAGTCATTTGCAGCAGCAACCAGTAGCAGTCACTTCAAAGACAAAGGCCTGACGAGAGCGTCGCCTTGGCCAAAACAGTCATCGACCATCACTTTGACATCAAGTTGAAGTGTTGATACAGACTCTCGAGAAAGATACATGCGGAACTGCCAAACCAATGACAATTCTCCGTGTTTGTTCCCAGGTCCCCTCAGTGCACAGCCACAGATACCGATGGACAAAGCGTGCAGTATTATGCACGGTTGCGGGGGGGCACGTGAGGGGCGATGTACTAAACCGGGCACCTCTGCAATGAGTCCGAGTCGTCGGTCTGCGTCCAAGGGCTACTGACAGCAGAGGCTATCAGTGTAGTTCTTCACCCGTGCACTCAAAAGAATATCAACATAGTAAATATTCACATAGCAAAAAAAAAAAAAAAAAAGTATTTACATGAGTTAGTCTTTAAACACTTACCAGAGGTTACCAGAGGGAGCCAGACCTGCGCGAGCAGACGCAAGACGCTTTCAAAATATCATATTCTAGCTAATTCCTACCTTCCATTAGAACCCCACTTCCGCGTCCGCCACGGGAACATTATTTCCGTCAGTGAGAAAGAATGTAACCTCCATCTCGGCGTTAGTGTTAAACATAGTAGACATTTGAGCGAGAGCTTCGAGAAATGACCCCGCGAGCAGAGAACAACGAAGAAAATCGTCTGCTTCCATCCGGACTCTGTACTGACTCCGGAACCGGTGCAAGGTTACGAGAAATTGGGTCGGAACTCGTTTAGAACTGGGATGAATCGAACGCGCCGGTGTAGTGACTGTGCAACTTCTGGCTGAATTTCATGTGCCAGTTCGGACAAATCAAAGAGGCCTGTTCTTCCCGTCATATGCAGTGCAATCCACGTTTAACGATAATGAGAAAACCTGAAAATTCAATCGTTATAACCGATTATTGTTGTATTTAGACTAGAAACTGATCGTTATAAGCAGTACATTGTTATATGTGGTATGGCTGTAAGTGGATTGCACTGTATACCTAGTAGTTACATTTTATCTCACAAATACTGCCAAGCCTTCGCTCTGGTGAAATGCAGTTCCAGGTTAAAGTCATAGACTCGCAAAAACTTGGTCGTAAGCAGATGCAAGTGTGTGAACCGGTTCAAGTAAGGGTAAAGGGAAGCAACGTACGCAAAAGCCAAGATCCCCATCTTGTTCGGTAGAAAAGCTGTAGAGCGCGACGGCTGGGCAACCTGGAGAAAAGAAAGAGGGCATTGAACAATTTAAAAACAATAAAACCAAAGTATGCACACAAAAGACACACATACAAAACGAGGCAGAGGTTTCACCCCTGCAAGCCCTGCCCGAGCAACAACATGTTTCCCGTCATTAACAAGATGATGCACTTGTATCCATGACTAATGCTCAAAACAACAATTGTACAACATGCCCATCCAACTTCATGACAATTAGGAGCAACCAGTTATGCTTAATGCTCAGACCATGTTGTTTGGAGGATCAATGTTTCGAGCTGTCACAGACTTCTATCTACTGACATGCCTAAAGAAATAGTCCAGATTAAGAAAGTACAATATTGGAAAATTTTGACAATCTTTTTATGAAGCAGATGTAGTACTACCCTCCACGTGGTATTTCAATCCTTCACAAATAATATGGCCCAGCTAGGTCTCAAACATAGATGGCATTTCCAATTGCCCATCTTTTTGACGGGTCTGTCATGGGGTTTCGAGAAAGAGTAGAACGTATCCAGCAACTTCCTCCACTGTAACTTATTCGAACCCACGTCGATCCGTCAGGTTCATCTCATGCTCACGTTTATTCTGTCCCCTGGTAGGTCTTGGAGGAGCCTTAGGTTCTCTTGGAGGAGCCTTAGGTTCTCTTGGAGGAGCCTTAGGTTCACTCCTATCATAGTCCCCACTGGGGGACTGATAGTATTATGAAATAAATAAAATAAACGATCTGACTGACAGACTCCGAATGTCAGCTGCATGCCTTTTGAGCCTTGATTAGTCCCAAGTGAAAACTAATAAAATGATGAAAAGGTTTTATACCAGGGGTTTGATTTTGGTCAAGGCAAGAGTGAGAGCGTTCTCGGCTACCAGTTGGACGTGGCTCTCAGAGCTGTTCGCAAGCTCGCGATTGGGCAACATTTTGGTGAGAACATCTCATCAACGCACATGATAGTGAGAGACGTCTCACAGCCCCCGATGTGCGTGTCCTAAGTATTCCTTCATCCACCGGTCCATGTTGGCTTGTGTACGGCAGCAGAACAACTTGAGATTTGCCAACGAGGTGCAGGTCATCAATGGCTTCCAACGCGAAACAGCAGACGATCCCAATTTCAGCCTGCGCCCGATCTCTCTTCGTCGTGGCGCTCGATATGCGGCAAATGATCGACGTTCATTTCGGTTCGTTAGCAGATGACTTGCAGGCGCTTTCTTGCTCCATTCCCATCTGCGAACGGTGCTTCGTAGCACACGAGCCGTGTTCCTTGCTTGCGCTAGCAGGCAAACCATCTACGAATGCCACCTTCACTCTCTCTGCAAGAGGTTTATTAGAGCTTGCTCTCGGCTCTCGCAGCGACCAAAATCAGACCCCGGGTGGTCTAAGGACTGCAACGTTAGCAACAAAGGGCACCCGTCGCACCTCGCTCACCCGTGGGCTGCTGCGGCTGCTGGGGTGACTCGACAAAGGCAGCCGGAAAGCGGCCCCTCCGACCCCCTAGCTCCCCGAGGGCCCAGTCCCCGTCCACGGGCCCCAGGTAGTGGACCAGGTCACCCTGCTTCAGGCTCAGCTCTTGGCCAGACTCCGCCTCAAAGTCGTAAAGTACCCTGCAAGTGGCGGTCCCCGCCTTTCCCTGCACACAAAGGGGAGAAGGTGTTTAGCCGAAAGGATCTATGACGAGGCTCGTCTGCACCATGTGTGCCAACAGCGTCCCGAAAAGTGGTCCCTCTACGGCTGCTGAAGGTTGCCGCAACGACGGGAACACTCGCGTTCGCTCATGCTTTTTTCCAGAACTTCTACGCTGAATCGCCAGGATTGCGGCATCCGACAGCGTGACATGCCGGCTTTTGTGGCGCCATTTGTTGCCACTTTGGGACCACTTTCGATGCATGGGCAAATGCCAAGAGTGTGCGATCACAAAAAGTATGAAATGGCGTAAACCTCGATGATGCCATTGTACTCGAGCCTAAAAGCGTGACTTGAGAGACACTCTTTCGCTTTCTCCGAGCAAAGCGAGAAGCAATGTAAAAAAGAAAACAAAAAATTGCCTTGACACTTTGCACAAAGCCGACTGACGCAGAATGTGCCACGTGTTTGCGTCAACCAGCTTCAGTCCGTTCGGATCTGTTGCGTCTGTTTTCCCTTTACGTTTTGGGGTAATCTATTAGAGCAGTGCTTCTCAGCCATTATGATGTTTCCAGTGCTTCAAGGACCGTAGGTGGCCTTCAGGGACCCCAAAATGTCCACGAACCCCCCTTCGAGAACCACTGTATTAGAGAATCTGACAGGAACACACGACGCATTGTAAATCAGTTGGCTTTGTGCGAAGTATCAAGGTGAGTATTTCTTTTCCTCTTTCTTAAACTTACGGCGAGCTCCCAGAGGTTCCTAAACTATTTTTTTCTAAGGCACCATGTTTTATGGCCCACAAGTACACATCCAGGGTGTTTTTCTTTTATTGAATACATAGGTTTCTAAAAAAAAAAAAGGCGTGAAAGCTACACAAATGCAGTCTGTGGAGGCGAGTTATACAGCCAGGTGGACATTATGTTCAAGAAAGAATGTGACTAAAAGATGACTAATTAATGAAAATCCACTAATATATTTTTTTAACGAGACATTGCAGGGCACACGCTTATATTGAAGAAATGGGGGCAGTCAGTGTTGAATGCTGAGCACACAGCTGAAGCTGTTGTCAAATTTTGTAGTGGAAATCTGTCTACACTAAAATCAAAACGTGCAGCCCTCGTTTGACGCCGGAGGCCGGGTCACGTGATTTTCATTGATATCACGCAGCAAAACAAAGCAACTTGTTGCGGCCGACAAAGTGGCTTGTCGCTTTAGTTCGCCAGCCGCGAAGCACCGACTGCAACCAACTCCGGTGCGTTGGGGTGCAAAATAGCAACGAATATTTCGTCATTCACACGTGACCCTCCGGCATCAAACGAGGGTTGTCCTTCTGACGGACATCGCATGTTTGACTGACAGATTTCCAGAACAAAATTTGGCAAGGAATAACACAAACTGCTGACCGATCCGAGATTTTTAGAAGCCGGGCAGGCCGTCAACATTGATTGCCTCCATTTCTTTAATATGAATGCGTGCCCTAAAACATCTAATTAAAAAAAGCAATTAGTAAATTTTACCGAAGAATACCGTGCGTCCGCCCATTCCACATTAAGCGCCCATTACCAAATTTGTGAGATCTGAGAAAATACGCACAGTACATTTATATGTAAAATTGATTACCGGACAAGCGCCCATCCCCCATTTTTTTTGTGATTATCTCCAAAGTTTGAGTGGGCGCTTGCCCGGTATTTTACGGTAGTTGATTAGTCATCTTTTAGTTCCATTCTCTTTTGAACACAATGTCCACCTTGCCGTATGACTAAATTGCACAGACCATATTTGTAATGGCTTTTTGTTTTTTTTATAGAAAACTGAATTTAATAAAGAAAAAACACCGCATATATATATATATAAGACCGCTGAAATAACGCTTTTCAAAGCCGCTCCGGCTGCACGGTTGCAAAGCATCATACTAATGAGCGAGAATATCTTGGTTTGTTTATGGGACAGGGTGATCCTTGCAAAGAAACCTGGCTGCGTTATGTTTCTTGTCTCAACCTTTTACGATGCTCCAGGCTTGGAAACCACTCCTAAAACGCATTCTGCGCTAAAACGGGGCAGGATGTCGAGTTCCCAAAGGGGACAAAATCAGTATTTCTTTTAAACATGCGCGACTGTTCCTACAATTGAAGCAGCCGTACCTGTTCGGTGCCGGGCTCTCCACTTGCCTTGGGGAAACTGAGGACGTCGAGACAGCGTTTGGGAACCAGCCCTTCCTCGTTTCCGCAGCGGCCCCTGAACATGCCGGGTCGCTCCTCCGACAGAAGGGCAATCAGGTCGTGCGCCTGCACACACAAGGAAAACACAACTGCCACAAAATCCTGTACAATTGCCTTCCCCCCCAACGGGATGCCCTTTCTATTTTGCATCCTCTATCTTTTGTTTCCTCTTTTGGGCCCCGTTACAGAGTCAGTGTTAGCACTTCCGAACGGGGAACGTGTGTAGCGTTTCCCAAAAGTCATGCCAACACATTGCCTAAGGATACACCAATGGATCTTCCTGTAATGTGTTTCACCCCTTTCCTCTACTCTGCCTGTCAGAGTATGTCAATGCCCTTGGATACGGCCATCCATATCACTTATGGAAAGAACCACATCCATACCCGCATTCCACTGTGCTGCGGCTCAACATCTCGTAGATAACAAAGCCGTAGTGCCGAATGAGATGGCATCATCAGAGAAGGCCATTGCAGGTCACAGATTGTACACAATGATTGCGTCAACGTTCAGCTTAAACTTGACTCGAAGCCGAGCGCTGACGCAGCACTCGGCTCCAATCTGTGTTCAGCAGGGGCCTTCTCTGATTAAGCCATCTCATTCAGCACTTGGGCTTTGTTATCTATGAGGTGTTGCGTGGCGCCTCCTTGTCTCTGGCTACATGCAAGCTGTGTGCGTGACTTTGCCAAAAACAAATATGGGCTCGTTTTGACGAAAACCCGGCGGTGTCTGTCAGTTGGTCAGCGCCGGGGACGGATGAAGACACTGACACATGCTCACGTCAGTGCTTCGAACCAATGGGAGCGTCATATGCGACAACTGACAATTGAAAGACATCGTCGAGTTTTCGTCAAAATGAGCGTTTTAACGCTAACGCATCAAAATTGCGAGACATTCCCGGCCCCCCATTTTCTCTCTGGATGCGATGTCTGACGAAAGTCACACCAAAACACCGATCTGTGGTATTGGTACGTAAGACACGCGAGCTTTGAGAAGGCTCCTGCGTGTTTATCGCACCATGGAACCCATGTTTCCCATGATCGCCAGCTGTGCGGGCGATGTCGGTTAGTGTGACGCGCAAGTTTCGAATAAACACGTTCAAGTTCGACAAGTAAACTTCGAATAAACACGTCCATGCTCAGTCACCTATGCATGTCAGATTTTCGGATTTTCCAACACGCTGTTGTTGGCTGAGCTGTGGCACTGGCGGCACAAACGAACGCACCCAAAAAGGTGCTTCGAAGGCACTAGTATGGGGAATGGAGATTCGTCCAAATATGGTAAATCTCTGAACAGTAAGAGTCTTTACTTTTCCTCGTGTTCGAAACGGACGACTAAAACAACCAACTCACGTGCTTCTCCTTCGTGCTGATGGCGCTTGATGGCTCATGGACATGAGGCCATGAAACGAAATGGAACAATATGTCTACCGTATTTACCTGGTCCGGAATAAATCATGGTCGTTCTCGTTAGATGAAAATGGGCACTTGGATCATGTTTTTGTCAAATGAGAGTTATCTGCTTTGACGTCAACACGACCACGTTGGTATGGTGGTAAGTTTTAGTAGATCCTTCCGATGACCCCAATAACAATACCCGATACTCTGCCACCGCCTTTGTGCATACCTCGTATCGTTAGCAGGTATTGTTATCGAAGGTATCAGAGGTATTGAAATGATCTACTAAAACTCTGTAATCTCAACGAACACAACACGGCAAACCAATGTGGCCAGTAAAAAAGAATAGTACTCCAATTAATATAGCTTTAAAAAAAAATATATTTTTCAGTTAGTTTTGGTGCAACATGTGCGCTTGAGAGCCGGATGGCACAGTGAAAGTGGATTGGCACACAATGGTGAGACTGGTGCAGCATTTCCACCCCTGAATGAATGCTTACCAACATAAAAGGCTCAAGGTACACCTAAGCACTTCTTACGAGTTGTGAATGCGAAAGCACGTCCGCCGCTCTTCGCTTCCTTCTTTAATCTGCGGCGTACAACGCGCTGACCTTGGGCGTGGAACGGTGGAGCCGCTGCCTCGCGGACATGTAGTGCCATCAAGTGAGCGATCGTTTAAACTGTCGTGTGCCTTGCGGCGCGAGGAAGGAACAGACAGCCACATAGTTCCCAGCAGAACAAACCCCTTGGCTTATTCCACGCGCCGTATATATTGCCACGCGACGTACAACCAATAAGAGGCGAGCGAAAGCAGTGATCACTGATAACACAACAGGGTGATAACACAGTCGGAATGACAGCACACAAACTGATGTGCAGCGGCCAATGGGAGCCTTGTCGACGCGCGCCGGCCAATGAGACTTAAGTGTAAAAGGTGCCAATGGCTAGCTTTGTGCATGGTTTCATTAAGGTGCCGTTTTGCATGGTTTTAAAGCTGATGACGTCGGCTCGCTCCATGAGACAGGTAATTCTTTCGCATTAAAACAGCTTACCTTGAAAGAAAGCTCATCAGGTCCAGACGCATGGTAGTCACATTTGGCCACAGCTGCACCTGACAGCTGTTGAAAGGATTTGTGGAAATCAATTCTTTTAACATTTCAACTGAAAGAAAACAAATTTTTAGGGGAAGGTTCAAATCTTCAGGTTTTTCTTCTACTGCCTTTCTAAAATTATGCCAGGATTTAACAGGTGAGCAAGGGTTCTTGTAAACTGGGACAAAGAACTTATTATTCATTGACACCCTTTATAGTTTTGCACAAATTTATAATTTTGTATATATTGACGTCTTACTGCACTCTTAGAGCTTGCACACATTTGGGTAAACCAGCAGGGCAGTACGTGCCATAGTACACTAATTGTCAAGGGGGTCTAGCCCAAATGGGCTCTCATAAACAAATAGCCACAGCATATAATTTTCATTAACCACATCCAACAGTTCCCTCAGGCTATAAACTTTACAAATTCAACAGCTAGGGCAAGTTGCCTGCACGGAGAGAAAAGGGTTTCTGACTAAGCTGATACACAGATGGTTTGAACACAAGACACCTTGCACAATGTAATGAGCTTAAAGGGCAGCTCTTATCAAAAATGAAACCAAAATAAATGACTGGTATCGCTTTAGTGACACGAAATACAACCACAACCGAAATACTACGTCAAAGTGAAGCCGCATACTCCACTAAGACCGATTCTAAAGATGCGACCAGCAGCTCCTCTGCGGGCGGAAAGCGGGTTAGCTTTTAGTCAAGGAGTGTTCCTTAACCCCCGTGACGTCATGTCACGGTGGAGCTTCAGGAGATTGGTTGTACCGTGCACTGCAGCGCCACGGTGACATCACGTCTTGGCCGCACAACTCACGATCAATGTTACCATCCCTCTAGCAGTTTTCTTGTAGACGGCCGAAACAAAACTTTGAGCTGTGAAATTTATAAAACTACACAGAATTTCTAAAACAAAAATTATACCTTGTATTTAAGGGACACTGCCTTAGCTTAAAACAGTCGTAATCCCAAATTTAAAAAAAAAAAATATATTATCAAGGGTTGCTTTCTAAGGAAGGACACTACCCAAAAGGGTCAACTTTTGAACCTCAAGCTTAATACAAATGAAATTTACAGTATATATTGGCAGTTATAAGGCAGAAGACAGTACAAGGTTCCATCTATGTACATGAATTGTGAAAGAAATTATAGTGGTTTATATCGGGAACACACTGACATTACTTAGGAAAACTATCCTTAGAAAACTAACGTAATATCAAACATCTTTCTTCACTAGATGTGCACCAGACTGCCTGGAGAGTCGAACTGTGAAAACAGTTTCCAAAAATTAGTTTATTTTAGGCTAAAATCGAGCTAAAAAAAATCAAATAAATTTTTTGCCTTTTATCTTGTCGACAAAATCTTAACATCTTTTATAAGATAAAAGACATCCACAAAGTAAAAAAATACAATGCCACAACTGCATTGCCCATTAAATTCCATTTAAAGGACACATGCAAAGGAAAAAAACATTGTTTTTAAACGGCTTGGATGAAAAAAGGAAGTCATAAAACGAATTTACAACAAACGAGAAACATTTTTAGAGCTACATTTACGGCGCGATACGAATATGTAGTTGGCGCCTGCAGGCGCCCGCGGGAAGTGGCCACTATTTATCACATGGTGCTTGCGCTCTTTTGGAAGCTCCATATGGTCTCTAAAAGTTACTTATTCATTTTCGTTTGAAGTGCAACAAAGAACAAAGATTAATAAGTCAATTTTAGAGGCCAAAGGAAACTCCTGAAAGAGTACAAGCACCACGTGATAGACCTGTGTGCCAGTCAGAGATTGACAGCAACAGCGCACCGGAGTGTTTGCTTCCAGAAACCTCTTCCGGCGGCGGCGGTGGTGGTGTGGAGGAATGTGTTGAACCGGCGGCGCGCCATGCTCAGCGTGAGGCAACGTCGTGGCTTTGCGGCGGTGGCGGTCCAGTGCAACGGCGCACAGGTCTACCACATGACAAGCAGCGGCTCCCGCGGGTAACAGCTACAAATACATTCCGCACTGTAAATATAGCTCTAAACAATTTTTTTCTTCGTTGTAAATTTATTTATGACATTCTTTTTCCATCTAGGCTGTTTAAAAAAAAAGAATGTTTTTTTTTCCTTTGCCTGTGTCCTTTAAAAAAAAAACAATGAGTGAGCCTTTCCTTTTGTCCTGTTACCGAACAACAGTTTTCCTTAAGTGGAATTTATGCCAAAAAGTGGAACGAAGAAAAACGTGTTTGAAGTGCTCGAACCGGTACCTTTTCTTTAGCATTGGTGGACTGAAAATAAGTTATAAAAAAACAACCCTGCTGTCTAAACAAACGAAACTTTCTGTGGAAACTCCCTAGATGTTGATGGATGTAAATATGGCATTTTCTAAAATCAACTTTTTTGCTGAATTTTTTTTCTTCTGGGTAGTGTCCTTACTTGGGCTTGCAACACTGACACTGCGCAGCCGATGGCTCAGTAATATGTGATAGCTACACTAAGCACCTAATTTTTTTATCGACTCCAGACATGTGGAACCGTAGTGAAACCTGGACTTTGTTATCATAACTGGAGTGATGCAATAAGTAAGTAATAATAATGAGTGAGCCATGTAATGAGTAAATGGTAAATAATATGCAAGCAATGTAATGAGTAAGCAACAAGCGATAATGTTATAACGAGCCAGGAAACCCACCGGCACTGAGCCGTCATCCTCGGGTGGCGGCTCCGGAGGCGGGTGAAGGGGCGGCGGTGGCGACCAGTCTTCCGTCGGCGAAACCCTGCAACAAAATACAACAAGTCGACGTGAATCATTAAAGTTTGATTGTTAGTAATGCACTGTTTATATTCTTTCTAGTCCTTGCCCCCAGTACTTTTAGTATTCTTGCGATGTATCAACTAGCTCATCCCTCCATCCTACTGCAAACAGTGTTGAGAAGTGCATTAAGTACTATCGCGGACACTTTTTCTAAATCATGGCAGCTGCGGCCCTTCCGTAACCCAGCGCCACACAGCAGGGGCGCTATGAAACACCGTGCCGACCCTGTGCGGCGGAATCACTCCACCAGGTTACGATAAGACTCTCTCGTCATCTGCTAGGTGCAAAGACAATTCCACCACAGCACTTGCCGATGTTTGCTTCATAGGCTCTTGTGAGTGCCTCTTTCGGTACGGAGATCTCCTGGCTCATGGAAACAAGTCAGCTAAACATTCAATGAAGGGGACATACCAAGCTGAGCAATAAAAGTGATCTACCGAGCCATGTGTACGATCATCGCCAACGATTGTGCTTAGCTGGGAATGCCACCAGAAACGCAAGCAGACGACGCATGGCGGCTTTCCCGCACAAGTTAGAACTTCCGCTAATTTTCGCGCAATCGGCGCAGCGAGGTGGTTGAAAAAATTTTCCGAGGACGCCTAAGCACTTTTCATGAGTTGTGAATGCGAAAGTATGAATGTCGAAATGAACGCTACTGAGTGCTCCTTCGAGTTTTCTGGTGTGAGTATTGACGCGCTGCCATGTTTGATGGTGCCAAGAGGAGCACCCGCTCACGCCTCCCCTGCCCCCCCCCCCCCCCCCTTCCTTCCTTCCTTCCTCCCTCCCCTCCCCTCCCCTCCCCTCCCCTCCCCTCCCCTCCCCTCCCTTCCCTTCTCCCCCCGGGGGCCTCCTGGTGAACGTGCACCACCCCCTTCCTTTTACCGGCATGGGGGACGCAGCGCCATTAAGAGGGCTTGGGAACGAGCCAGCCAATGGGAATTTATCTATCAATTTGCTGCTACTGACTACAGGCTTCGCTCCATCGAACAGGGGAATTTAGGCGCCGTTTGGCACGGCTTCAAAAGCTGATAATGCCGGTTCGCTCCATGGGACAGTTAATACTTTCGCATTAATATTGGGAAAGGACACTCCTCCACGAGAGGATTGTTTACAGAAGCTACGGGGCTGACGTCATGCTCTTTCCATCACAACAGATTGTGTTAAAAAGTACATCATATTTATAGTATACTTTACTTAAAGGCCGACGTACACTTCGCGCTTTCCACTTTTGCCTGCCACCTCCTTTCCTATATCCTCTCCACGTTTTACATTGCCCCAACCTGGCTCCCCTTCGCAGCTCAGGAGAGGGGAGCGCTGAGACGATTATCTTCCCCGCAGAAAACCGAGGTTGTACGTCGGCCTTTAAAGGGACACTGACAGGGTATTTATGCTCGCCGAGGTTTTTAGTTGTACGTGACATATGAGAGCTCAACTACCCAGAACAGAATTTGCGGCTCGAAATTCGGTTTCTTTCCGCCCGAAAACCGCCGATCAAGAACTGGCCGGTTCGAGTCTCGCTCACTCTCTTTTCCGCGGTCACGGGCCGTTTTCTAAGGTATCGATGCGACCACCAAATTTAATCAAAGTCGTGGGTCACTGAAAGCACACACTCAATATTAAAAATAGAAAAAAATATAAAACCCATTTTTTGTGGCTTCTAAAAAGCTGCAAATACGTTGATTGAAAAAAAAGTTCCACAGACAACCGGAAGCATTCTGTGCGTGCGTCGTTTCGCGTATCGTGGGACTCGCAGGGACGGCGATGGCAGCGGACGACGGGCGTGGGACCTCTATTTCAGAACTGTCGTTCGCGGTACCGGCGAATTTTGTCTGCCTTTAAAAGAGAAATTTGGGACTGATCAAAAGAATTGGTATTCATTCCGTACGACACGCCCGACCACCAAGCCAATTTGCACGAAGACGTCGCCGAGCCGTCGCTCCCTTCTCGTGGCTGAAGACATCGCTCGCGCAAACGTCAAGCGCGACGTGTCTACTTCGAGTGGAATATGCACGCGTATGGTTTCTTTACTAGGTGAGAATGTCACCAATGCATGGTGCATCCCGACTTCGACCCGGGAGTGCTTTTGCTAGAGGAAAATCGGCAGCAAACTTTCCACTTACAGTTCATCGGCTGAATTATTACTAAGGAAAAAGATACCTCACCTTCGATATGTTCCAGTAGCTCAGTGGGATAGACGTCCCCTTCGCACCCGGTAGAGCCGGGTTCGATCCCCCGTGAAACTTTTTTTTTTTTTTTTCTAAATATTTTTCGATGTCTGCATTTTTTTTTATTTTTTTTTTTACAGTTATTATTGAAGAAACAAAAAAAGAAACAAATGTTGTGGACGACACGTCGCTGAATTAGATGGTATGGGATATCCTTTTTGACACCTGCGAACTCAATGTAATCACTTTCCACAAAATGCAAGGAGCATATAAATCAGGTATCGTCCGCTTTCCGAGGTGCCCGTAAATGGTCTACAGGAATTGCAGCCAGCCATTGGTCCCGATCCCGTTGATCTTTCGGAAACTCTGTCGCACAATGCCACTTCCGTTTCTGACGCGGGACACAGCTCTTCACGCAACATCTTGGGTGTATTCTTTTCGGAGCCGATCAAAATTCACCACGGACACTCACAACTCATCTCCAACTCCTCAATGTACAAAACAACTCATCTTGGAGTAGAGAACAACGAGCGGAACATACATAACTGCAAAAGAATCCCACGGCGAGCAGTTCCCATACGCCGCACGTCGTCTGCTACCGGGAAGGAGAAAAAAAAAAAAAAAAAACACGGTCGGGTGTAGCCACGTGACTTCCGCCACTCACTCTCTTCTCTCCACTTCTCCGACCTCCGTCGGGTTTCGGTTTCGGTTTCGAGCAGTTGCGTCTTTTGGTTTTATTAAAAAAATACGCTACTCTGTTGCAAAATATTAATTGGGTAGTCCTCCAACACCATAATGAAGCGCCTGGCAAAAAATTAAAAAAATTTTTTGGGGGGTGTCAGTGTCCCTTTAAGGTACAAATTGTGCCCGGCACCCTTACTACTTCACTTCAAGTTCATAACCTCTCAATTACTTTGAACTTTTCTTCAAGTAGCTTTGAGATGTACTTTACCTGGCACTCACTGCAAATCATGTTGTATGGGTGTGGGTGACTTGTGCAGTCGGTTAGGCTAGTTACGAACCGCTAGCACAGAGCAGGTGCCTCTACCAAAGCGGGGAAATGAGCAAAGGGAGGCGTTTGCTTACTCAGCCTCGTCGTATGCCCCATGCTGCGTGTCTGGAAAGCTCCACGGGTCCAGAGGCGTCGTCGTGTCCTGCTGCGAGGCCACCAAGAGGCTCGGGAGAGAGTTGTTCCTGGGGAAGTTCCAGGCGTCGTCTCCGGCCGTGTCCCCTGCGCCCCCCTCGAGCTCCGCGGGGGCCCGCCCCCAGTGGGTCGTCCGTGAATGCGGAAGGCCCGGCTGGTTGTTCCATGGGAGTTCCTAAACAAAGGACGGGATGGCCCCTTCGAGTGGGTGCTGCGGTTGCGGGCGTCACCGCAGGCCCGACTTTGCGGAGACGGTTGGGGCGAGAGAGTGGCAAAAGCTTCTCCCCGACGGCCTTCCTTTTCCCCTCCCCATCCCTCTCCCCCACACCCCTAGAGTACCCTCCCATCCTCCTCCACCTTCCTGGGCACATGACGCACCAATTCAGTTTCCCCAAAAATTTATAAAGATATATAGGTTCTTCAGTCTTGGAATGACTGTCTAATGTCTTGCAAACAATCAAAACGATCGCTCCTAAATAGTGCACTTCGTGCATTTGGTGTCTGCAAGCACGCCGAAAGGAGACATGGTCACTTACACGGAGGTCTGATTAAGCTGATGAAAAAACACAAACTCTTTTACCCGATAGTGACGCATATTCTTTCGTTTACAAAGATGCGTCGTGCCACCTCTCCGACGACTCGGAAACTCAGCCTCAGGTACGCAATTTGCACGAAACTATAAGGAAACATGACTTGGCCTCCGGGTGAATTGTTCGTTGCTCTCCACCTTCCTAAATATTCCCAATAGTATGACATAGTGAAGAATGTTTCCAACAGTGAAGAGCCAGACGTGACGTCATCACCGCGTTCATCTCATACATCACGGTCTGAGCCACCGTCTCGAACATTACACACAGTGAACGCTGTGACCTCGCCACAGCGTTCACGTGATGACGCCACGTGAACACCATGACGTCGTCAGTGTGATGTTACCATCTGTTACACGTGACAGACACAAAAGCATGTGGTGTTTTAAATGTTCTAAAATATGCGAATGAATGACCCATACTTGATCGAATGAAACAAAGTTTACAAATCCGCCAAAAAACTTTCGACGGTTTTGTAACCTTTGTTCCATTCAATCAAGTGTAGTTCGTCCATCCATATGTTTTCCAATATTTCCTCTTTAGAGAAGGCGTAAGATGATGAAAGTGCCCCGTGCTTTAAATTCTATGCACATACCGTAAAATCCAGAGAGATACCCATCCCCGAAAGATAGCCCACCCCCTATTTTTGTCTGATTTGCTATATTTTTTTTTAAATACCGAAAGATAGCCCCCTCCTAGTAATGATAGTGTAGGGACCAATGATGGCCTCGGTGTGAATGTGGCTAGTTAGCAATGGCGGGATATAAGCAAGTATTGCAGACTGGGATATACAGTCATCTCTACTTCATTGCCCCTCGCCACCGTAACAAGCTTGGAAGGAATACATGACCTAAAAATAGCATTTTTTTAACTTTTCTGGATTTTACACTGAAAGTCGACCCACTCCATATTTTCACCCAATTTGCTCCCGATTTCGGGCGGGCTACCTCTCGGGATATTACGGTAAGATATTAAGGGAGAGTGCACCTCACCTGCAAAGGCGGTATGTCCAAGTCCAAGAGCGACACTGGCCCAACGCCGCCACCGGCTCCACCGGCGCTCTGCCAGGAGGCGCCGCTGCTTGCACCTGACGAGCCACTCGCCACCGAACATGTGGGCGACGCCGGCGGTGAGTCAAAGCTGATCAGCGACGGGCATCCGTCCAGAGCACCCGCACGGTTGCTCCGGTGCGGCGGCACGGGGGGCGCTGGCGCAGCGCCCTTGTTCCGGAACGAGTTCCGCGCCTGGGGCTGCTTCGGCGCCGGACCCTTCCTGGCGGTCGGTGCGTTCTTGGCGCCCTTTCCCGTCGAGCCGAATAGGCTCAGCTGGCCCTTGGCGAATCCGGCGCGCCGAGAGAACAAGCCGGAGATGGTGCCGTTGGGTGCAGTCCAGCCGGCGCCGTCCGGTTTGGCCGTCGATCCGAAGACGGCGTCGAGGTCCGCCGCAGTCCCGTCGCTCTGGAGAGAAAAGATGCCGGGCATCGGCGCCGGGACGTTTCGGTGGCGCCCTGCCACGATCACGCTGCTAATACATCATACAAAAAGACCGTCTGAAGACGCTGCTCGAGCTTAGATGACAGTCCTGTCGCGTTGGTCGTACGAAAACTACCCACAGACATGTTTAAAGCCTACACAAAGCAAACATGCTTTTAACAGATGTGCATACACAGATTAATATCGTCATTGCGTCTGCAGCGAACAACGCATCCTTTGCACTATATATGAGCAGCACCACTGTGGCTTTGCTTATGTGACGTCACTGCTGGTATCTGTTTTGTCGCAACATCGCGAAATACATAAACAAATTGGTCGTCAGACGTTCAGACGACGTTGGGTCAGTCTGCCAGGCTGGGCCGACACCGTTAAATGCTCGAGACAAGAAATTTAGCCGCTGTGCCACGACTGCCAGCATGAAGTCTTTTGGACGTGCACCACGCAGTAGCGATACGCAGCAGTATGTTGGTACGAGGTTTGTCCGATTCGAAGCGGTCGGGGATGGGGATAGAGGCCAGGATACCTGCGTTCTGCGGAGCAAGCTTTGGCTACATGTGCCTTGAACCGAGGCGCGTTGACGCGCTGGGTCGTTGCGACACTTGCTGCTTGCCATCGGTTGCGAACAAGTTTGACAGTGCGTGTAAAAAGCATGGTGGAAAGCTCGGGATCATAAACCAATGCCATCAACGTTTAACGTCCGAGGTTGGTCTTACTTCCGTCAGCGAAAGCGGGATTAGTTCCTCTTAAGATGTGGCAAGTTTTGGGCCAACCGTAGAAGGCAGATCATGGCGACGCTTTTAGTTGCATGCATAGCGGAAAACAGGGCACGAGAGGGGCATATACTTACGACAAATCCAGAATTGCTCTGCGAAGAGCCTCGGGAAACGATGCTTCCAGATTTAGGTGGTGCTGTGGAGAGGAAAAAAAAAGTACAAAACAAGATCGAAATGTAGCATCATGAGGTTGGGATAGCTAATAGTGTAATACAAATAAAACAGCACAAAGCAGGAACAGACAAACCCGCACAAGAAAATGCTGAATGCATTCATGTCTTTTCGTTTGCTTAAGCTTTGCACCTTTTCTTTTTTTTTGTGTGTGTGTGTTAGAATCGAAAGGTGTGAAGAATTAGAATGCATAGGTTGGAGACGGCGACTTGTGTGGCCCAATAAGTAGACGAGAATTTAACGTGCTTCGTTCTGCAAGTCGATCCAATGCCCTCGCACACAGGTCAGTGACACGGCTATGAGTAGCTGCTAATGTGCTTTCGTTTGGAAGGACCCTATATGGAGTGCAGTTTGTCTGCTGCTTGCGTAGGGGTTGCAGTGACGTCTGAACACCAAGCTTTGATTGGCTCCGATTGGAACGATAGTGGGTAGACCTCAAGGCAGCTAGCACTGAGGTCTATCCACTATCCTTCCAATCAGAGCCAATCACAGGTTGGCATTCTGATGTTCCTGCAACCCCTGTGGCAGAAGCAGACAAATTTGTGCTCTTCATAGGTTGTTCTTGAAAGATAAATGTGAACTGAATTGGGTCTACAGAGAGTGACGAAGGAGCCAACCAAAATCACGTGATATTCGGAGCAAAGTGGAGATTTGGGCCAGTTGGTTCGTTGCAAGCAAAAAGCGCCGAAAAAATACAGGGACACAGACGAGGGGAAACAGGACAAGGATATTCGGAGCATTCATTTTGGCACCAAAAAAAAGGACTGCCGCTCACGAGGTCTCGGAGGCGGCTTTTTCTTCGGAGTTTCGATGACCTTGGGCCGGATGACTGTGGGACGACTGGGAGGAACCACATTTTTCCTTTCATTCTAAAACAAAAAATCAAGAAAAAAAAGATTATTATTGGCAATACAATGATTGAGCACCTTTTAGTAATGTATCTTTCGTACCTATTTAACCTGCCACAGTAGAATCCACTTATAACGATAATGAAAAAATCCCCACAAAATTCAATCATTATAACCAATCATTGTACCTGGACTGGCCTTGAAAAGTGCCCGAAATTATTCCTCATGCTGCAGGACGAAGCAGCTAGGTTACTCAGCAAATGCAACATTCTGATCACACCAAGCAATGTCAACTTTAAAATAAACACTTACTTTATTTAGAAGTTTATAGGAATGAGTGTTTGATGAGTCGTGCATAAAAGGCAAGAAATCGACGCTTCGTACACAATTCTGATGCACCACATATCCAGTTGCTTCATGCGTGGCACCCTGGAGTATTATCGCAAGTATGAAATCGACCAGTAATGGAATTATGAGGAAAACACCTTGAACATAAATTAGAGACAAACGACCGTCGATAATCGAGAATTTACGACGATGTCGTTGACATCGTCGTAAAATCGCTACCTTGCATTTTGCCGGCACCATCTTTAAAATGTGATGACCGACGCCGATGATGATATCGGTCGACTTCGGGCCGCGCATAACTACTCTAGGTGAATTTCGACATGCGTCCGTACGGCATATGTGCGTAGTAAGTTGGGTGTCGTTTGTTCTACGGTTCTTTGTATTGGCAGTTTCAATTTTCGCCCGATTTTTTTTAACAATATTTTCCAATCAACGAATTCATGATCGTTGTAGCCGATATGCCTAATATATTCCATCGCTATATGTGGTTTATTTTTACGTAGACCCAACGCAAAAGCTAATGGTTCTCTAGAAACTGATCGTTATGAGTGGTAAATCATTATATGTGGTGTTGTTTTACGTGGATTACACTGCAATAAATGTTTTCTACCTAAAAAAAAAAAAAAAAAAAAAAACATGTTTCACAGTTGGCGCTTCCTACTTCGAAGAAATAGGAAAAAGAGGGAGAAAATCAAAACATTAAAGTAAGAAAATAGAATCTACGAGTCTAAAACCATGAACAGCACAGTGTTCTATAAATGTTCTGATTATTAAAGAGATTCCAGCTCAGAAGTAAAATGCAATGCAGACATTGAGTGAAACTACTATAAATAGATAGACAGCACTACACAAATAGTGCAAACATCTAAAAAAAAACTAACTTATGAAAGAAAAATAAACTATACATTGGTACAACGTTAATAGCAGCTTGGCACTCACCCTATTGTTGTTTGTGTCCCTCTGAGCGAGAGGTGGTGCTTGAGGTTGTGCACTACAAAGAACGGACGATGCAAGCAGGTAGTGCTTTATTTAGAAAATGCACCAGTTGAGAAAAAATATTAATTTGTTAAGTAAATCCTTAGGACTGTAAAGGTGTGTTCTGTTGCATTGAGCAAGATTATTTTAAATATACCAAGTTCCTCAATACTCCCTAAATAAAAAGTAGTAATATTTTTGAACTAGAAAATCAGTAAATTTAACGAACAGATACTGACAAGCCACATCTCTTCTGTGGAGGTCCAAACAAAAAATGCTCCTAATGTAACCTATAGCAAGGGCAGGCTAATCAGGTGGTGATAAGGATGACCAGGCAGTAGAGATAACAACAAATATTTCCCTGTGAAGGAATGGATAAACGTATGCATGAGCAAATTCTGGACATGAGCCAGATTTCCCATTGTGGAAAAGCAACATTCCATCTTGTCAAGTTATGTGCAGCTCAGCAGAGTGCTTTGTTTGAATGGGCTAGCATTCGTACAAGGACAGCACCTTCTCAAGTCGTGCCCCCTACATTGTTGAACAAATTGAGATTGGGTGCAATTTAGATCACTTACTCAGATGTCAGCATGTATGTTTCTTTTTATGTTGTTAGTTAAAGAAAAGGTTATGGACCATGGCAGATTTTCATTCTCTACATTATACTAACCTTTTAAAGTAAGCTGCCTCTCTTATTCTTAAGGATAGAATTTCTGGCTAATAATATCCACCGTTCCCACGACTTCTTATGTCGTCTCTGCCACAGTGGCGGATCCAAGGGGGGGGCGACGGGGGTGGCCGCCCCCCCCCCCCCAAACAAGGTCGACCCCCCCTCCCCCCTTCTCGGAGGGCAATTTGACATGGGGGGGACCCCCCGGTGCACACGAAAGAGTGGGAGAATAGTACCCTTACAGATTTTCCGCCCCCCCAAAACCGAGTTCTGGATCCGCCCCTGCTCTGCCATCCCATACTTTTCGAAAGCTCTAACAAACCATGTGTCCCAGTCGGGATAGTGTTATTTTTGCTCAGGTTCTGCCGAGTTATGCAACTTTGGCTTACGCCAAGTTAGCTTTGCTCCTGTGCCATATAACTGTGATAATATCGCGCTAGTGTAAAACTATAATTATGTTTTTGCAGCTTACCTGTGATTAGAAACCGGTGGTGGTGGTGCGGGGCGCAGTGGTCTTGTGGCCATAGACTCTCATAAGAACAGACCTGCGAAGCAGAAAAAGAATAGCTAAGCGCGCGACGCATGCATCTATCTATTTTTCTTTTTTTTTTGTTCCAACACGACCGACTCTTCGTGATGCAAACATCATTTTATATTCATCAACGTAAGCACCGCTTGCGCCAGACTTCACCTGGGCGTGAAGCTGCAAAATATCAGCAGCAACAAAAGAAGAAAAAAGAAAAGAGAAAGTACTGCTCGATTGATTCCCTATACTTAGCACCAGGAAATGACAGCGAGCTGCACGGTAACAGCTTTAACGACCCCGGTCACGCTTTCGGCTAAGTTCGCCCATTGAAACGCATCGCGCGAGTTTGCAGGGTGTGGGGGGGAAAACCCCAAAGCGCACGATTGCATTTTATTTCGCCCAAATACGTTCGCGACAGACGTATGGGTGTTACGAGCTTCCAAGGGCACTGGAAAATAAAACCGTCGAAATGTCCGAAGCACAACGAGACGTCAAGATTCGCCCATGTCGTTACACATCTGAATAGAATAATCGAGCTAAGAAGACCCAAGTTTTGCCTTGAAAGATTCTGCAGTCGATTCAACCGCTCAGAATAAGACGCACGTGAAAAACCGCTCTTGAGAAAGATACAGGCTGCGCCAGGGTATGCACAGAGTTACATCAAATACGCCCCGGATATGAATCAAAAGGAGGTACGAGTTTGGTTTTACTTACCGACTTTCTTCGCATATACACTTTCTGCGCAGTTGTGGTATGAGCTGTGAGATTATTATGTGCACGGCTAGGAATGCACGTGATTGTGCGCCAGATAAAAGGACCTTCGACAACCGTTACATTCCTTCACATACCCACCTACGCCATTTTTAAAGCACGGCGCCGTTGGTGCTCCCTGGCGGGAAAATTCGGCGCAAGGCGATTCAACTCGGTGGCTGTTTTTGTCTTTTTTCGGGAGAAACAGGTGAAACTAGATGAAACAAGTCAAACTTGCCTAATTAAGTCTAATAAACATAATTTTCAAATAAGTTAATAAGTCATGCAAACGAAACGCCAATGTATGCTCAGCCACTTGAAGTTTCGTATCGGCCGGTTTTGAAGTACGGTTTTGAGGCCAGGTGGAAATTTTTACGAAAGCGCAACACTGCAGAAAAAAGACAACTCGTTGAACGTCAGTCTCGTGGCGTCATCAAAGGACAAAAGACTCCTTCCGAAATTCGAAGCGCTCCATCGCGACAAAATACCGCGTAGTGCACTCTGAGAACTAGTTGGCCACTCAGTTTCGGTTTCGATTGAGCAGCTTCAGTGCCGCGATTAGATCCGCTACTTGCGTTTTCGATTACCTGCGTTCCCACGAATGTACAATACTCTCAGTCCCGAGCAACATAGAAGGAATATTGGGGCACGTGGTTCCCGAAATGCCGGATATTGTGCATGCGTATGCAAAATAGTAAAACTGGGCTTATTCACCGTACTCCACGATTGTATCTTAGAGCTAAATTTCAATAACCCTGTCTAGCACTGGTTACCCACAATTGATATTTGGCCCCTTTGAGCCCTACACAATTTTTTTTTTTTGCCAAATGTCCGCTTGCTGTTACATCACTAAAAAGAAGAAGAAAAAAAGCCACATTTTTACAGGAGTTCTAAAGTTGAGCTTAACGTTGGCGCATGAACTTTTAAGGAAACGCGAAAACTTAGACCTCACTGCTGCACAAAAGTTACTATAAAGTCTTCACCTTGTCACCATATATCTCCCACTCAAATTTTATGCTGATTGGAGAATAAGTTTTCGCAAACGCTGAGATCGGCTAGCTACGGCGGAGGCCCTATCAAGCAGTAAATTTCATAGGAGAAGGGTGGCTCCTTAGCTCCCTTCCTCCTAGTTTGTCTGAGGGCAACCCCTAAAAATATTCCGCTGAATACAGAAACACAAAAAGGAACGTAATATCTATTTTGCGCGAAACCGTTGTTTTCTTGAGCGCGCTGGCTCAAAAGTGACGAGCCGTTTCGTCGCCTCTCCTCTGCGCTGATTAGCTCCTTGGCTTCTCCCCGCATTGACGTGAAGGTGAACAGAGAAGAGGTTTATTGCGATATCACAGTATTGACACCGTGACTGATATTTTCTGACATTGCTTTTTGCTTTACTTTGTGCTTTCTTAAGGAAATGCCGCATTCTTTATTGAATGTTTACACTGTCAAGTGGAATGCAGTTCCAGAACCTCTGTCGGGCAACAAGCATCCTACTCTCCACACGCTCTGTTTATACACCTGCTAATTGTACTGCAGCAATTAATTTGCACTCCCAGTGATATATATTTTTTTATGCCAAACCCAGGGGCGGACGCCGGAATTTCCTGGGGCGTGAAACGCTCCAGGAAATTCCGGAAATTTAGGGCGTTTCACGCCCTAAATTTTACACATGCAGGACATCCGGACCCCCCCTCTAAATCCGCCCCTGCAAACCTGTTATTAAATGTGTCGAAATCGAAAACATAAAAATTGACTGAAGCAGTACTCAATGCATCGAATGGAGTAAAGAATCAGTAAACCTTTTTCGGGTTATTGTTTCCTGTCAACGCTTACTTTTATCAATATGGTCCTACAGAAAATTTTAACATTATGTTCTTTTTCGACCGTTGTGAGTGGCAAGCTAGATTCTGCCTTGTGTAGCTGTCCTCATAAAAAAAAAAAAAAAAAAAAAAAAAAACCGTAGAAACCGTTTTGCATTGACACAGCGATATGAAAATAATTACAATATTTTATACTTAAACTTTTGGCGAGCAATTTTTTTACAATATTTTGCCACCAAATGGAGAGAGACTACGAAGAATGACTGGGGATACAGACAAGAAGCAAACACAGAACGACACACACTTCGTCCATGTCGTTCTGTGTTTGTCCCTTGTCCGTAACCCCAGTCTCGGGTTTACAACTATGCCTAGTTTACACCAGCTAGCCTGCACCCTCACCATTGCTTCATAAGAATGAGCACGTCGGTTCTCCTTCAAGAACGACGGTCGCTTCCCGCAATGCTTGATAGAAAATGGCGTACCATTGCGATTATTCACACGATTACCAGCGTCCTCCGCGCTTCCCCGTTGTTCGGCAGCGCCATGGGTTGCAGAGTAAATTTTACGACAGGATGAAATGCGGGACATTTTGAAGATTTGGAAATTTCTCGCGGCACGCAGGACACGAGCCCTCAATGCGGGACAGCCCCGCGAGTCGCGGGACGGGTGGTCACCCTAGCGCACAGTGGTGCAGGCAGGGACTTATGGAAGTAGTCTAGGCACGCCGAAGTGCCGCGTCTCTGCCTTCACACTCTTGGTTACCAATCAAGGCCTCGGATGAAATCCGACGTTCGTGACTGGGTGCGTTCAAGCACTATTGGCTCTCACTTTTACCCCTAATTTCCCTTTTAGAACGCCTACACACACACGCGTTCATGCATCGCATGCTACTGCTCGAAAGTCCAGCGGCATTCGGCACGCCCAAGTCGCCCGTTCTTACAACCAGACAGATCGCTTCAACAAGGTCCATCTGGAGCCTGGACCTAATCGGGCACCTACGGATTTCTCAAGGACAGGCATCGTGCGTCGACAGCATAGCCTCCTCTTATAGAGGAGGCTATGGTCGACAGATATAACGGCGGCCAGGGGCAACCCCGCTGTCACCGCCACCACCGTCGCTGAGGCGTTTCCGTTTTGAAAGTCCTTCAGAGGTTGTTACTGACAGGGGTCGACAATTTGAATCGGCACTTTTTGCCGAGCTTACGTGACCGCTGGGCACCAGTTCCTTCAGTACGACTGCCTACATCCCACAATCGAACAAAATGGTCGAGCGATTTCATCGCCATTTGAAATCATGCCCTTGCGGCTCACGGTGGTCCCTTGGAGTGGGTTGGTCATGTTTTCCTTGCGCTTCTCGGAATCCAGTCTCAAAGACGGTCATCGGATGCTCCACCGCCGAACTTGTCTACGGCGCTGCACCTCGCTTACCAATTCAGACTTCTTTGAGGTGGAGCTACCTCAGCATGAAAGGCAGTTGACTACGTAGAACTAAAGCAAAATTTTGATAATTTGCGACCGGTGCCTACACGACAAATAATTTAAAAACCTCTCTACGTGACACAAGACCTTCAAGACGCCACACGCAAGTTTTCGTGCGACAGGCGCAAAAGAAGGCACTTCACTCACGTTACACTGGACGCTTCCCAGTGGTCGAAAGAAGCGACACGTGTGTTCTGCGTGTCAACGGCAAGAACGACACCGTAGCGTTGGAAAGATTAAAGCCCGCACATACTGAGCACGGGCACATGCAAGGGATCCAGTGACTTTAACATCGACTAGACGACACAGCAAAAGTAACTTCGCTGGCGCTCCGATGTTTGTGCTTCTGGCCTTTCCGAAGAAGTGAAGGTTGCGTGAGCACACGTGGCTGTGATCAGCGCTCAATGTGTACGAGAGCGCACGGGTACCCATATCTTTGGCTTCATTGCCAAAAAAAAGTTGTCCCCAAGTATAGATCGTTCGTCTTACATCCTCTCTAAAAAAGGGGGCGGAGGCGGGGGGGGGGGGGGGGGGGGGGATTTTTTTGTGGACTGTACGCATTCTGCTTACGTCTAAATTCACGGATCCTGGGAAAGTATAGCACCAAGCTCCTCGTATGGCCGCCATTTTGGCTCATGAAATGAGCCATTTCTCTTTGTCCTCACCGTTCTTGGTGAGCCAATCTAAACTCGCTGGTGATGGGTAGCTTTATAGAGATGAGAGATTTCCCTACACACCCCCTGGGGGGGGGGGGGGGGGGGGGGGGGCGGGGCGGGGCGGGGTGTACACCCACATTATTTTTCTGAAGTCACCCTCATAATTTGCAACGACTCCTCTATTCTAATTTGCAACGACTCCTCTAGTGTCACGTGGTGGATGACCCGAGCGCATGGAGGGACACAGGTATAGAGTACGTCCCGATGTTACGCTGTGCGCTTCCAGCGTGGCATTTTGGAATTCTTACATATGGTCCACTGGCCCACGGAGCCTTCACCCCAGCCCAAATTATGATGAAACAAAGCACATACATTACTGATAATATAGGGTGTCCGAAATCACCAAGCTCGATCTAAAATGGACCGTAAAAATCGACGTCTGCACGAAGCAATCTAAACTTTTCGTCAAAGGTGTATTTCACAGGTCCGTTTTACAGGCTGCCCTCTGAAAACGTCAAAGGTGTTTACACCAGGTCTGTTCTCTCTCTAAAAACGGACGTGTGAAATACACCTGTGACGAAAAGTTTGGAGTGCTTCTTGCAAGCGTAGATTTTTACAGTTAATTTTACATTCCGTGAAAAACCAATGACCTTGGCATGAAAGGCGCCGACAGGCTTCGATGAAGTAGGAGCGGCTGGACCCGCGCAGCCTCGGAGATTTCTTCCTTGAACTGAGAGGGGTGGCTGCATGCCGCCATCTATCGTCGTGGAAACCCGCCAAGACAGCAGGGGCAGCCAACACCTCCTAGACAGCTTTCAAAGCCTGCGCGTCACGTGACATAACGTCACGTCCCGGATGCGAGTGCCGCACGTGTCAGCGTTCGCGTGGGAATTGTTTCCCCCACGCGAAGGCTGACGCGGCACTCGAATCCAACCAGCACCGGTGCAGGCCTACAGGGTCATGTCACGTGACGCGCAGGCTTGAAAGCTGTCTAGGTGTTAGCCGTCTCTGCTGTTTTGGCGAATCCGGTATCTCGGTGCGCGGGTGGCAGCCCTCTCCCTCGCCGCAGCGCGAAGGCGCGACAGGACGGACAGAGCGACGCATACGTCCAAGTGTCCAAACCGCTAGTGGAGGCTTCGATGCTGTAGGCGCGCCGTTTAATGCTGAAACCAAGTAAAATGCATTGTCTTAGCAGAGTGTAATTAGCATAACCATCTTTTCTTTTTTTTTTTTTTTTGTCCGGGACGTTGTTGTGGCACACGGACAGGAATGAAGGCCAGCCACGTCGCATTTGTTCGCTTCTCGGCGAGATACGTAAAGCAAGCAACGCTTCCCAGCGTTTTTAAACAGAGTAACACGAATTATCACCTGGGCGAGTTGGTAAGTATTCACAATTGAAACAGCGTGACTGGACACGGGTGGAGCAAGAAAATGGACGGAACGAACGCTAACAACTGACTAATTTATTTTTCAAAAAATACAAAAAAAAAAAAAGAAAAAAAAATAACATGTAGGAGTTTTTACTCAGGATGGACTCAGGTTGCAGAGGCGCAAATTCATCCTAGGTAAAGGGTCGTGTTTCTCTCTTCTTTTTCCTAAAAAAATAAATGAGTCAGTTGTTAGTGAGCGTTCGTTTCGTCTATATAGGTTTTCGCTCCGTCCGTGTCCAGTCGTGCTGTTTCAATTATTAGCATGGTAAAGCGACTTCGCGATTCTCGAAAACTGAGCATTCAGCTCAAAGATACGCTATATCAGGCCGCCGTGTAGGAAAGGAAGTCAGAGATAAACCGATGCCTTTCTCCAGCAAAAAAAAATTGAACACTTACGCGGACTACCACTTAGGCCCTTGCTCGAAGACCGCTCACGAGACTTCCAAATACCTTTGTGATTTGAGCGGCTCGACCGCGTGTCCATGGGCTCCGCCGTCGGTAACCGATGGCTGGTCGCCGTAGCGTGCTGCTGGATGAACCTCTTCTGCTTTGCCATGCTCCGTTCAACGGCAGTCATCTACGTCGCCGTCCTGCACACGTTCCACGTCACCAGGGGACAGGCGGCGTGGCCCCTCAGTCTCACCGGATTCTTCTACACGTTCACAGGTCAGTGAGGATGCATCATGCGGACAGTGTCGTAAAAGATCTCGCCGGCCGTTACTGTATACTGCGCAAACACAATCAGCGCCTGGGCATTAAAAAAAAGAAAAGAAAAGAAAAACGTAGCCTATTGAAGACAAAAGAAAAATGAGTTACAGCTAATTAAGCTTGTGCTTGACTATGTATGAATTGTCCGGACACAAGCTGAACATCGTAACTCAATATAAATACCTAGGACTTATTTTCTCTTCCGAACTCAAATGGGACAACTACATCGATTACATCCTAGACAGAGCCAACAACAAAATTATGGCATTTAAAACGAATCTTGAAGGATGCTCCGTCTACCGCTAAACTGCTCGCTTATAAAGTTTTAATTCGCCCCACTCCTGAATATGCGAGCGCTGTATAAGACAAACTAAAGAAAAAGACAAATTAGGAATGGTTTAGAGAAAAGCATCTAGGTTTGTCTGCAACAAATACTGACTAAACCATTTCCCTTCAAAGTTAATGTGTCAAACTGATTTAATACACTTGCAAACTCGAAAAACATTGCTCGCCTTAAACTCCATTAAAATTCCACAGGACAAATACGTAACTTTCGCGACTAGAACAAATAGCAGATTTACACACTCGAAAACGATTATTGAACACGGGTCTCGAATTGATTCCTTTAAATACCCTTTTTTCCACGCACATCATCGGAGTGGAACAAGCTACCCAGGCATGTAGTTGACTGTGAAAATGTTTTTTTTTTTTTTTAGACCAACTTGCGGGAGCAGCACTGTAACTATTACTACTGCATCGAGACTGACCTTTTGTTTTTATTGGTGCTGCGGGACCTTGAATTCACGCATTTGCATGTATTGCCATACAGTTTTCTTTTTACAACGTGCTTTGACATAATGCAGAAAACCCGAGACACTTTGACACTTGTTTTGCTCTGATCTCCATTCTAATCTGTATTTCTTAACATAGCGTTGTACTATAGAACGTGACCGCGCTGTCTTATCATTGTTCAATCTGTGTTGATTGGTGCCACTCCAACTGTATTCCTCTCAAGGAATGATAGTATTGTTAAACAAATAAATAAAATATATACACAAATTAAAATAAGCGGGGAATCACGCAGCGGTTATGAGCATTGAGGACGCGCACTGCGGGTGTGCGAATAATGCTTAGAATCGAATAGCGCGTTGTCATCCCTTTAGCTTCAACGCTTTTATAAGAAACCTGGTTGGCGTGGCTTTCCCTTGCACCGTGAAGGTTTGTCATAAACGAAAAGCACGAGCGAACACGAGTGTCGCTCTCGTCGGGGCGTCCCAACTCCTGGCTGTCGAAGTTTCCGCGGATTGTCAAACTGGAGGAGCGACCTGAAGCAGAACAGGCGTCTGCCACGTCCACTACCGCTGCTGGGACACCGCCAGGATCGCGACCGGCGACAGCACAACACTTCTATGACGTCATCAGGTGGAAATCGAGGGACTACTTTTTTGGACGCGGTATATGTACACTGGCCGGAGACGCGCTTTTGGGCACCAACCCGACTGCAATGGCGCATGTATTTACGGATCCTGGTTAGATCACGCACCTGTGGCTGCCTGCCGCTCAAACAAATGCGAAACGGCGGCGCATCACCCTACGCGTAAATCGGTAGCGTAGTCAGATATTATTTTCATTAGCATGCTGCGCAGCGAAAGACTCCGTCTGCGCGCTGATCTAATCAAAAACAAGGGTTGCATTTTGAATAGAACAAGAGAGCGAGCACGCTGTCGTTCCCGTTGTTCAATTCACGCCGGAATTAACCAATCTCAACATGTCTCTAAAAACAATTAGTTAATTTGGCAGTTTTGTATCTTCCTGACGATACAACACCCGTACTTATATTTTAATAGTTATATTTATTTTTAAAGGCGAGAATCCCGAGCTCGTAGCTTTATCTTCGACAGTTGCTCCTGCTGATCGAGGGCCCGCGCTTGCAGCCTATGGTAGCAGAATTGGTGTACGTTACAAAAAACTGGGAAGCAAAACATAAAGCGAAACAAAGGGCAATTGAACACAGATAAGTAAAAGCTATGTGATTACGTTAAAGGAGCGGAGCTACTTTTCGAGCGAAAATAAATCGGTGAGGTGAGATCACGATGGAACATGCCATTTCTAGTGCTCAAGACATGGGAACCGGGTCTCGTTGCCGGTGGCCTACGGGCCGCGTGTTTGAGACCCCTGGCCTAGCCATTCCTGCCACCGAAGCGGCCGAAGCACGCCAACCCCAAAACTGTTTTTCGTGTTTTTTTTTTGTTTTTTTTTTTACGAATTTTGAGTGACGTGTTAACCTTCTATAATCTTGTAGTCTGTAGAGGGACAATATTGGCGTCTGGAACACACAAAACAGAGTCTCGACGAGACTCTGTTTTGTGTGTTCCAGAGTTCTTCTTTCCCCTTTTTTTTTTTCGTGAAGGCCGGAGGCGAGACAGTTATCGTCACTACCTGTCAAGGTTCCTAGACGGGCACTACAAACGAGGCGTTAGCGACATCCACCAGGTGCTCTTTGCTAATCGTTTAACTCGGTTTAAAAATCTTCTTCGTGTCTTTTGCAACAATAGATTGGTGTGTCTGATGATTTTGTTGTAGTATCCCTTTAATGCATTCGCCTCACATCTGTGGGAGACGATCGACGCTCTCTTGTGTATGCGGAGAGCAAGTTGTCTGCTTCTTGGGCAGCAGTTGTGGTGACGTCAGAACGACACTGAGCTCTGATTGGCTTTCATTGAAATGGTAGTGGGTAGACCTCAATGCTAGATGCCTTGTGGTCTACCCGCTAATTTTTTTTTAAAATCAGCCAGTAAGAGCTTGGCGTTCTGACGTCATCGCAACCCCTGTGCAAGAAGCAGACGAACTTGCGCTGGGCATTACGTATGCGTGCAAGTAATCCTACGCCTCAAAGTGCAGCGCCTGCTGTGGGAGTCCTCGCAAGGTACTTCAGCGTCTGGAAGCTGACACTGGCGGGATCTGTGGGCGGCGCCATCTCTGTTTCGCTCTGCTACTTCGCCGACGACGTACCCTATCTTATCGTCTGCTATGGAATCTCGCAAGGTACGCGCGCCCTTTGTCCAGACCACATAGTGATGTTTCTCGAGTGTCAACGTTTTCGGGTCTATAGGACCTCTATCTGCGATGCCCACGATTTCGGTTAACCTCGTCATGGCTGGAAGACGAGAAGACACAGGGTGTTTCCTCAACAAAAACTGAGAATACTTTCAAAGGAAAGGCTGCACTTGAAATAAGATAAACGATTGCCCTGGACTTGCGTTAACGATAGCAGCGGACGTCAGGCAGAGACTGCGAAGTAATAGCGAATTAATTACCTAAAAGCAACTGTTTAACTTTTGAAATATTCGCCTTAACTGACATATTCAGACTTAAAATCTCTTTCCCGTGGTCAAAACATGTCAGAGCCGTTAGAATTCAGGCAACCAGGTGGGACGGGCCCGTGAGCAGTGGGTAGTAGCTTTTTTTTTTTTTTCTCGCCAGCCTCCGTTTGTGTATTCAAACTGATATAAACATAGACTGGTTCATTTATTCATAAATTCTGCTCCGCGCTATACTAAGGCAAAGTTTAGCTGTCTATAGAGACCGCTAAGGTGCCGAAAAGCTGCACGTCCGAGAAGACGTCATAGTATGTATGGCGCGACATTTAACCCCGTGACCCCGAAGCCGGCAGTCCGACGGCTCATATTGTCATACATCACGCAAAAGACAGTCTGAAAACCCTGTCTGAGGAGTGATTCCTTCTTGTAGAACGGCCCTGTCCCATTAATCATAAAAAACTGAAGTGCTTTTTTTTTTGTTTTTGTTGCAGGTATTAGCATTGCGTTCACATCGCTTACCCACACGGTCATCAACCAAAGTTTCGACCAGTACAAGGCAGTGGCTTCTGGAATCAGCAACGCAGGATTCACGATCGGAAGCCTCGTATTCCCACTTGTGCTACAGTTCTTCTTCGACCGATACGGCGTCCGAGCGGGCTTCTTGTTGTGCGGTGCTTTGATGCTCAACGCTGCCGCCGCTTCCTTGCTACAACGAGATTGTCGTGTTATGTCTGTTGCTACTTCTCACGAGAAAGCACGGCATAATCCTCGTAAAACCGAGGAGTCCCAAGAAGACGCCCTTAGAAATGACAGTTCCCGCGCTGCAGAAGAGCGGTCGATGGAACTCCTGCCGATGTCAGAACAGACGTCGAGGAAAGGTAGCCTAAGCACCCGAGATGAAGAGAGCGATGCCCCTTTGTCTTCAAGTATAACAGAAAACCCCAGAGCTGATCAACTCCATGTACAAAACTTAGAATTTGAAAGGATTCAAGTTCAAGCTGCGGAAAATAAGTACGATGTTTCGAGGAAAATACAAAATCTCGTACCAGAGTTGACTCTTAGAAGTCGAATAGTAGGATCGTTGTCATTTCTTGTCATAC